ATCACTTCCTGGGTGGTGAAAACGATTACATTGGCCTACAAAGCAAAAAGCTTACCTGTGCCACATGGTGTCTCAGCCCATCCAACAACGTCCTGGGCTCCAGCAAGTAGAGTACCTATAGAGATTGTCTGTGAAGAGGTCCTCATGGTCTTCTGTACACACTTTCATGACTCAATATTGTGTTTATCTAGCTCCTCTAACCATGGTTGACTTTGGTCGTAGTGTTATTTCTTCTGCCTCTGGATTTAATTAAACTGTTACGCATCAATCCCACCCTGTTATGACGAGTTATTTCCCATTCGTGTGCTGACATGGAGCTGACAGGAAAACCGGAAAATTGTATTTCATACTTACCGCAATTTTCCTTTCCTGTCTAGCTCCATGGCAGCACATTGCCCACCTAATAAGTAGTCTAGTTACGGAACGGCAAGCTGGGCCTCTTGGGCAAATTTATGAGTTACAATCCTGATCAACCCATTCGTGTGCTGCCATGGAGCTAGACAGGAAAAGAAAATTGTTGTAAATATGAAATACAATTTTCTGTTTTTTTAGCCTTCTGAAATAGCACTTTAATTTTCCTGCCAACCGCTCTGTCCCAAGTAGCTCAATAGTCTTTTTACAGCATCTCAGATCTCAGAGTCTCAGAGTAAATTCTAAGCCTTGTCACCCTTTCCACATTATATTAAGCAAGTGGTAGAAGTCAGTAAAAAAAAGGAAAAAAAAGAAAAAAGAAAACACGAGTTCTATAGTAGCAATAATAATGGCCATAACAATAATTGTTATGACATAATTGTTAGCACACAATTACTCTATAACCTTAATACAAACTTATTTAGGGCTTGTCTACACCAAGGCCATTAAGCGACATTGATCTGCATAGATCAACACAGGCTTAACACAAGGGCACATCGAACACAATACATTTCTATGTGCCCTGTTCAATCCATGCATGTATATTAATGTTCATCCCTCACTGCATGTTGCACCACCATGTTACAACATGCTACAGTACATAAAGTTGAGTGAAATGTCAATTTATGACACTTCCATAAAGTGTAAATAGTGTGGCGCGTGGTTACACTGCATCGCACTGTCCCTACACAATGCATACTAGCACTTATGTGTTTCTAGCATGCGGGCTCGTGTGAACAAACCCTTAAACTGTGGAATCTTTTGCAGAAAACCGAAAAGCTGTCAGTATTTAACAGAGTAAATTCTCTGTGATTTTTTAAAGCCAGGGTAAGACTGCATTAGGCATACAGGGTTAATGTCAGTGCTGGCCAGGATGACCGGAATTACACAGAGGGTAATACATTTATACTACTAAGCCAGCTAAATAGCTTCATTCTTCTTACTGCATATTCTGCAGTATCTTTGACTAGCAACAATGGTTCTGAAGTGTACTGCTTTACATCTCATATCAGCTCTTACTGCTTGTAAAGGTCACAGGGGGTACAGGATGAGAGTCAACAGCATTTCGTACTGAATTTGTGTTATCTTACCATAAACACAGATTTGAATTGCTTCAACAGTCCCTCTAATGGGCCCCTTCAACTCCCTGGCCCCATGGCAGCATGGGCTGCAATGGTTACTGTTATGCTACTGTTTTCAATCTGAAGCTTCTTGAAAGCTCTGCCTTTAAAAACAAACTATAGACTTCCGGTGAGGAGCAGCGGGGAGGGCCTCTATACTCCATGTACTCATCGGTGTGGGGAGGTTCCATGTATCCAGTAAGGGGAAAAGAGGCATACATAAAACTGCTACCCAAGGAGGGGAAGGATCCTACGGATCCCAGCTCGTATAGACCTATTTTGCTCCTAAACATAGACGCCAAGATCCTCTCTAAAATAGTTGTGAACAGGCTGGCTGATATCCTACCAACCCTGATTCAGCTGTCGCAGGTAGGCTTTGTCAAGGGTCGCTCGGGAGTGACAAACATAGGTAAAGTACTGGTGGCACTGGAGCAGGCTCGCTTTAACCCCTTATTGGAGTCCGCCATCATCACTCTTGACACAGAGAAAGCGTTTGACAATGTAAACCTGAGATGGTTGTTCAGGGTACTGTCAGAATTTGGCTTCAGGGTAAAAGTAGTCAACTTCTTTGAACAAATGTACGCCTCCCCGATCGCAAGAATACTGACCCAGGCGGCATTGTCGAGTCCTTTTACCCTGGCAAAGGGAACGAGGCAGGGCTGCCCTCTGTCACCCCTACTGTTCAACCTATCCCTAGAACCACTAGCAGCACGCATCATGCACTCAGACGCGTTCCATGGGATCAAGGTGGGCAAAGCGGAGCTTCGACTGGCAATGTTTGCTCACGATGTTCTGCTGTTCACCTCCCGCCCGAAGGAAGACGTTTTATTCATTAGAACTCTGTTTGATCATTTTAAAACGTTCTCGGGACTCTGGATTAACTTCCTAAAGAGCGAAATCCTCCCCCTGTCAGGGACAATGGGGTGGGATGGACAGGGAGTCATGAGGGTGGCACAGCAGCACATAACTTATCTAGGTATAAAGGTGGGGAAGACTCCTTCTTCTCTTTACCACCTCAACTACCCCCCCGCTCATACAAAAAATTTGTAAGGAATTAGATATGTGGAAGGACCTTCCCTTATCGCTCTTCGGGAGAATTCACCTCATTAAAATGATGAGTTTCGCAAGGTTACTATACCCACTGCAAACTCTCCCCTTACTGTTGAAAACTACTGATATCTCTTGCCTAAATAGAGCCATGTCAACGTTCATTTGGCAGGCAAAACGGCCGATAATTTCATTCAAGAAACTCTGGCTCCCGAAGGGTGAGGGGGGAACTAACCTCCCGAACATCAAACTGTACAATATGGCTTGCTTACTTCGTCATGCACTAGATTGGATATCCGATAGTGAAGTCTATTCAAATACCCAATTGGAGACGGAGTTAATCAACCCATGGGATCTTAGGGCGGTCCTCCACTGCAAAATCTCTGCTCTACCCCAGCGCATTCGACACATTTCACTGATTAGGGACACAATTACTGTTTGGCGAGAGATCAGGAAATCTCTCAAACTGCCTTTATGTATGTCCTTACACTGTCCTATCACGGGGCACCCCTCATTTGTTCAAGGCTTAGATTACTCAGCATTCCACAAATAGAAAGAAAAGGGCCTCCATCTCTGGAAACAACTATTTGACCCTCAAACCTTCGCCCCTTACTCTTTCAAGGATCTGATACAACAATATCATATCCCCCCCCAGGACTTTCTACACTACCTACAGCTGAAGACTTTGTGGCACAGTCTCGGGGGTAAGCTGAGATCCCTTTTCTCATCATCATTTCTGGACACCCTTGTATCAAACAAAACATATTCTATTTCGGAACTATACCCAAGACTACAAACACAAACACTATTTATACCCCCCTCTCAGGGTCAAGTGTGAAAGGGTGGTAAAGAGACTTTGATGATCCGGATCTGTTACCTAAACTACTTGAGGGGTACACCAAGATGAGATCAATAATAACAAACGAAATTCGGAGGGAGACCCAATTTAAAATTTTACATCGAGCCTATGTCCCTTACTTCATTCCAGCAACGACGCCGTCCTCATTAAACCAACTAATATCGATATGTCCGAAATGTGGACTCCAACGCCCAACCCTACATCACTGCTTTTGGGGGTGTCCAGAGATATCGGACTTTTGGAACCAAGTTCTTGCATATAGCAACACTATTGTTTCCTGGAAACCAGACTTGGAGTACTCATTGTGCCTTTTTGGCTACCTGGACTGTTCTACCAACAATCGAGGTCAGACCAAATATAAAGGACTGGACTGGGTGCACATCTGCCTCCTGGTGGATAGGAGATGTCTCATGAGACACTGGAACGCCCTATCGGCCCCCAAGGTACAGGAAATCATAAAGGACTTGACAGCGTTACTGGCCAAGGAAAGACTAGAGGCCGAAATGCACAAAGATAAACATGCCTCATCCTTCTTCAAAAGATGGAAACATTTCATTGTAAAAACCTTAACGGTAATGGAAATAACTAGGGTTGCACAGATACCTTTCGAGTACCAGTGCACATACTTGGCATTTTCATGAGAACTACCAGGGTTGCAGTGGTTGCAGCTGGGACCTGGCTCTGGCACTCCACCACTGTCCTGAAATCATTAGTCTGTATTGTTTTAGAAAAACTGTCACATGACAATAAACAAAAATGTATCAGTACTCGTACTTGTAAGTACTCGGCAAGTACCAGTACTCGTACTCGCAAAACTAGTATCTGTGCATCACTTTATTTATATTTATAAAAACAGAATCATACATTAAAACAGAGATGTACAAATCCCAGGAGCTCCGTGTGCTCCTTACAAATGACAGCTGCCTCCTAATTTTTGAATTTGTCTCTAGTGTAGTCTTGGAGCTCAAAAGTATCGGTACATGCACTCATACTTGTACCGAGTACTGTACTTGGTATCTGTGCAACCCTAGAAATAACTCACCTGGTTCAGCCCTTTAGATATACAAAATGGTATTTAGAGGCAGATGTGTCGAACACGCTGGGGAGCCTGCGATTGGCGCAGGATTTGATTACCTCCTACCTGCCAGATACTTGGCCTAGCTTCAGCCCCTCTAGATCCAGAAATTACATAGAGTTTGTTCCTTATAAGCAGTAGTTTAACAGGGGAGCGGATAGCACAGGTACCCTGACACATCGTACACGTCTGATGTATAATGAATACGGATATGCACACTTATGTAACCTGCTGATAGTATGTTTGTTTCATTTTTCTTTTGTAGTTTTATGTGAAAAAATCAAATAAAATTTGTTTGAAAAAAAACAAAAAAAAACTATAAACATCCCTGCTATGCCCTGGTGTGAATGGGGCCTTAAAGTTTACAGGTGTTCATTCAAAAACATGCTGTCAGGCTTTACCTTTATTACCACAAAACACAAAAAATGCTTACTAATTTACCATCAATCTCACTAAAGAATATATGGATTTATGCTGTTTTACTTACAAATTGCAGCAGGGTTTCTAATGTTTGGAAGTCCCCATCCAGATTGAAAAAACCTTTTACTTCAGATATAGCCTCTGCAGAACGAAAGGCTACATCAAGTTGATGGTACTCTTTAATCTGCATCACGCGGTTCGAGATCCATGTTTTAGTCTCTCTGTCTCCCAAGCCACACAAGATTTCAAGCTCTTTTTCGAGATTTCCATAATTGTCTTTGAAATCTGCTAAAAACTCGTCCACAACTTCAAAGGTGACTTGTCCAGATTTTAGGTCATTATAAATCTTCTTGCAATTTTCCAAACATGGATTGAAGAGTTCATCGACTATTTCCTCAACTGTGTACTCAGTGTCATCTTCACTCTCATTAGAGGACTCACTATGAGAACTCTCAGCAACAGCATTGGCTTGTCTCTCCCAACAAGTGGTAAAGACATGGCTAGTCCTGAAAGTGTTCAGGTGTTCAGCCATGGTCATGGAAGGAGCACTGAGGTTATAATAAGACAAGTCATGTCCAGTAAATTCATCATCCGAATTAAGTGTCTTCACTGGTAACATATCCATTAGCTTTTGTGATCCCAGTTCTTGTAAATGCTTTGCATGAATTTCAGAAACATTCACTTGGAAAAAAAACATTATTATATTACAGTAAAATGTAAACTGTTGTTGGAAATATGTCACTATAAAAATATAGTAAATGCCTCTAACTTTTTAAAGGTGTGTACCTGTGAGTCTCTGACATGAAAATAAAGTTTTCAGGTCAGGAATCCCAACTTCACTAGCAACATACTTATTCTGAACAGTAATTTGATAGGTAGTGAAGCTAGTATAAGGATAACAGCCCTGAAGCTTGCATCTTTAAAAGAGGTCAACGATGGCTGCATTCATATTCACAGGTTTCCTTTAAGTGCATCTGACCTTGAGCAAATTATATAAAGATTTACAGTGTAGAAAATAGTAACTTGCATTCCTAACAATAAAAAGAATCAGCAGCCAACACCAAAGTGTTTAGTGACAACTATAATCATTGCAGTAGTGCCCTAAATCTATTCTCAGCAAACATTCCTTTAAAAAAAATGAAATAAAACTGCCAATTCTCATAATGAATTTTGTATACTTATTACATGCATTTAGGGGTTTATACTTTATATAGTATCTACCTACTCAGTAAATATGCAATTTAAGAGGCAGAGTCATGAGCTTCACTCTCTAAAGCATTTTCTTGTTCCTGAACTAACCCAGTCTAGCAGTCTGGCCATCTCATGCCTGGAGGTAAGGAGGGCCAGCCAGTACATGAGTTCAATGCCAGGAGGAAATGTCTAAACCTCTCTTCCAATGCACATATTTGGACTGTAGTCAGGCCTCTATTAGTATTAGGAAAAACATGATCATTAGTGGAGATATTAACCAGTGATGCTTCAGCTTTTATTCTCTATAAAATAAAAACAAGGAGTGGTCATTAGATAAAACAGCTTCATTTTCGTTCCCATTTTTAAGCCCTCCTAGGTATTTATACAGCAGATTAGGGATACAGAGTTAATTATAGCTCATCAACTACATTCTCCCCTCCAAGGATCCAAACTTAATAGGGTTCTGATGTCAAAATAATTGGTAGAACTATTATATTATGCTATATGAAGTAGAAAAGATAATCTTCTCCACTGCTGAAATAATCAAGACAAACTGAGAGCTTTGGTGAAAACTAGGATACTTGTATTACAGCCTAGAAAAACTGTTGGCGCTATATAAATCCTGTATAATAATAAAATAAAAATCGGGACTGAATACCTTTTATATACTTATCAACACTCTCGATCATTTTAAGGAGACTGTTCACCCATTCACGCTCCGTTTGTAGTTTGTCAAATTCAGAATTCCTCCACTTCAGCACTTGATTTATTTCACTCAACAAGAGTTTCTCTTTTTTTTCGGTTTCTTCAAAAGAAAAGCAGCCAACACAGATCCATTATAAACACACTGCCTTTAGCTAGTCAAGTGAAGTATACAATATTTTGTCTAATATTAAAGAACTTACTCAGTTTACAAATAGCTACAAACTGTTTCTTGTGCTTTAGAATACTCTGTATATGTTTATAGAGCACCGTTCCATCCATGACATCCCTAATGGCCTTCAGAAACACCGATTCTGAAAGAGCCACCAGTTCTTGGCTGTCCTCTCCAAATTGTGATATTATTCGGCTATCCGATCCTGAAATTAAACAAGCCAAATTTTATTACAAAATGTTTACTCAGTGAACCATCATGACATAAGAGTTAGGCTCCCATTACTCAAGGGAGTACTTGGGGTGGACCCTGAAGACATTTCCAGCAGCTATGGAATTTGAAAAAGACAGAGACCTGTATAGGCCAGCCCATTCTAAAACAAGTTCTTACCAAAAAGTTTCAGAATGTAGGATTTTAATACTTATCGTAAAGTCCATTGAAGGACACAGGAAGTCATTAACTGCCAAATTGTACTGCCATCTTCAGAACGTTTGACAATAGAGGGAGATATTTCCTCTGATGAACTGTAACTTGACAGGGAGACGGAAGAACGATGTTCTGATTAACCTCCTTGATCTTGTGCAGGACCATAAAGGGTTCACTACACAATAAAGCCATCAGCACTGACACACACCTCGCAGAGGTGGTGGCTATAACAAACACAAGCTTATGGGTAAGCGTGGAAAGACGAGTTTTAAAGAGCAGTTTTTGAAGCGGCAAGAGTATTAGATTGAGATCCAACACTAGGAGACCGAACAGGATAGTTGCATGGTAGACCCTCTGAATAAAAGTCTTAATCAAGAAGTGAGAAGGTAATGCTCTCTGGAACAAGATGCCAAGAGCAGAGACCTGATCCTTTATAGTGCTGAGGGCCAAGTGCTGGTGAAGACATGGAGAAGGTAAAGTATGCCTCCGACGTACAGTGATAGACCTTATGAGAAGTAGAAGTTTTATCATGTTGGGAATGATCGATTCAGAAATGCTTCTGTCTGTCAGAACTTGGACTTTAATAACCATGCCATTAAAGCCAGTAAATGTGAAGCACAGTGGTAAATTGGTCCTTGAGACAGAAGTTACAATCTGGAAAAGCATGTAGAGTGTCTGCTAGGAGTCTTATGAGGTTGAAGTACCATGTTAGCTTGGGCCAATGCATAGCTATGAGGATCACCAGAATGCCCTCTGTCTCTATCCTGTGAAGGAGATTAGTGTTGGGCTCAATGTTCGATCCGAAAGTGAGCTCGATTCGAACATCGGCAGTTTGTGTGTTCGGCGAACACGCAAACTGTCAGGGTGTTCGGCAGGCTATTCACCTGCCGTGCATTCGGCACAAGGCACTAGGGATGCACCGATACCGGTATTTTGGTACCGAGTATGAGTACCGATAATTTTTTTTCGGTACTCGCCGATACCAATTACCGAGTATGGGAAGTCCCATTCAGGAAGCCAGGTGGCGTGTAATGACTCACCATCTGGCTTCCTGATTAGCCGGGAAGCCGGGCAGCGTGTAAAGACTCGCCACCCGGATTTCCGATTAACATGAAAGCCGTCCCATACGAATCCCTCAGTGCGGATCTCTGTCCCCTCTCACCTCGGCATGTCCAGCCAGTCACCCCCGGGTCCTCTACAGCCAGGAGCGGCCTTCCTCAGGTACCCAGCCGGAGCCGTCTTGCTGGCCAATCATGGAAGCCGGGCGCAGTGTAATGACGCGGCACCCTGCTTTCCGATTGGCCGGGAGGCCGGCTCCATGCTCCCTCGTCATGAGATGATGAGGAAGCATGAAGCCGGCTTCGCGGTCAATCAGAATGCCGGGCGCTGCGTCATTACACGACGCCTGGCTTCCTGATTGGCCAGCTTCCCGACCGATCAGGAAGTCGGGCAACGTGTCATTACAGGCATCGGAGCATTTGGGTGAGTACGAGTACTCGCCCAAATACTCAGTATCCGCAACGATATCGATACTAGTAACGGTATATCCCTACAAAGCACTGTGCCTTGTGACCCGATTGGCCACAGGTCAGGTGCAAGACTTTGCCCAATCAGGGCACAGAGAACTGTGAAGCCATGATTGGGCAAAGTCATGATGATTCTGCCCAATCATGGCTCACCTGTCACAACTGTAAACAGTTGGACGGAGCTAGCTTTCACTGCTAGCTCTGACCAAATGTTTATTTATATGTTACCGACATTTGTGGCATGACAATGCCATTATGCGGCGGGGACTGGGGTCGTCGTTTTTTTTTTTAATTGTTATTTCTATTTATTGTTTTATTTTTTATTTTGTCGAGTCGTCAATGTTGGACGTCGTGATTGACCATGGATTACATTGGTGGATCAATTTTTTTTTTCTTTAAATAAAAGACTTGTCAAAAACATGTCTTTTGTTTTTTTTCCAAATAAAGATTTTTTTCAAAAGTCTGGACTTTTTATTTACAATTATTTACAATGTATAATTTTATTAACCCTTTGTGGCCAAGGTGCTTTTCCAGCGACGACCCTGAAAAAGCACCTTCCCGGTGCTGAGGGCATGTGGCCTGGTATGGGAGTGGGGGACGCTCGCTCGCCTCCCCCCCTTTTCCGGCTCTGCCAGGCCTATGCTTGGATCAGAGTCTGGTATGGAATCTTAGGGGGGTCCTCATGTCCCCCCCCCCCCATTTTTGGGGGTGGGGTTCCTCCTTAAAATTCCAGCAGACCTTAAGGGTTTGGCATGACTTTGAGGGGGAACCCCACACACTTTTTTTTTTGTTTTTTTTTACATGGGGTCCTTCCTAAATATTCCTACCAGACCTTTGCAGGGAACCCCACGCTTTTTTTTTTTTTTTTTTAAATGTGGTCCCTCCTAATATTCCTACCAGACCTAAAGGTTTTTTTTGGGAGGGGGAACTGCAGTCTTTACAAATGGAAAAAAAAATCATTTTTTTTCTTTGGAAATGTCACTTTTGCTGCAGCATGTTCTATACGTTGTATAGATTTTCCACTTTACAGGAAGGTTAAGGGGACCCCCAGGCACGATATTTAAAGGAACTTTTAATTTCTATTGTTACCCTTTAAGTGATGTTTAAATCAATGCTCCTTTAAAAACTGTATTTAAAAAAAAAATGTTCATTGATTCCTGTCCCCCAGGGCAGTACCCCGATCCCCATACACTTTTTATGGCCAATAACTTGCACATAAGCCCTCTTAATGGGGATAATTGTTTTTGAAAGGTCTACCCCCATAGACTTGCATTGAGTTCCGAGTTCAAACTTTTCAGATGTCCTAAAGCTCGAATTCGAAACGAAAACTCGGACCTGTTCGGCTTATGACTAAAGGACATGAGGAATGAGTTTTAAGGGAGAAAAGGCATAGATCAGGATATACTGATCACATGGCAAAACCAGACCATCCATTGTTTCTGCTAGAGGATCTCTGTACCTGGAGACACACCTGTGCAGTTTACTGTTAAACCTGGAGGCCAGGAGTTCCGGCATCCCCCATCTGTGACACAGGTCCTGGAACACATCATCATGCCAGAAATGAGAAAATAAATCTTTAACTATCAGCGCTGTAGCTGAGGGCTACAGCTATTTGTTCCAAGCATTCTATGACTAAGGGATTAACCACAATAGGAATCAGATTGCTTCTGAAGAAGGAATTGCCTAGACCAATTTGCGATTGACACATCAACATCACAGCTAGAACAGGGTAAAGAGCAAAACCTGCTATAGAGCACAGAACTCCACAGATTGCCTCCAGCCTGTTATGGATTGGGACTCACAGGTATGAACTGTAGGGCTGCAGCTAACGATTATTTTCATGATCGATTAGTTGGCCGATTATTAATGGACACATTTAGAGAAAAGAGTCCAAGCAGTGTAGGCTGACGAAGTCAGCTAAAGCTGGAAGTTCAAATACAAGGCAGGGTGCTGCAATGCGGAGTAGGTGGCATGGGATGCTGAGTAGGTGGCATGGGGTCCCCCAGGATGTGGAATCTAAGAGCCAGCCAGTATTCGCCAGAGCTCCTGATGGTGGAGATGGACTTGGCTGCGTGCTGACCCCAGGTCACAAACCCTAGGTCCACCCAACTCACCTAACAGGTACAGGGTACGAATCAAAGGTTAGGGACAGCCAGTAGACAGGGCTTTCCAAGGACAAGCCAAAGGTTTGGTACACAGGAAAACTTCCAGGAATTCAGGGTAAATCACAAATGGGGGACTCGGCAACTAGCTTGGGAAAGCGTTGCTTGGGCCGCGTGCTGTTCGCTGCCCTGAGTATAAATAGAGACAGGAAGAGGGAGGATCCACAGGATTGGCTACAAGCAGACTGCACTGAGATTGGCCAAGAAGCTGCATAAGAAACAGCAGGAGAGGTCGGCCGACGCCTAAAGCTTACAAACAGGTGCAAAACTGTTTGCCTATATCTACTGCTTGATAGCAGTAGATATAGGCAAAAAAAACCCAAAGGGTTTAGAACCCCTTTAAGAGGGGCTGCTTCATTTAGCTGCTGTCATACAGACCAGCTCCAGTAGTGATGTCTTGATTGAAGAAAAAAGTGAGGGCAAAAAGTAGGTTAGTGTTTCCCCAGCAAAGCTAAAGAAAAAGTGTACAGCCTTCTAGGACACTAGCAAATAACTGAGGCATGCTGGTTGTAGGAGGGGTTATCATGGGCTGGTCCACATTTGTTGTTTACCATTGTGCATTTCTTCTATAGGCAGCAGTATAACCTGACACCTAATTGACAAGAACGATAATAACTTAACCCATTACGATTAGGGATAATTTTGTATTCAGGCTTTATTCATTATGACCTTTTTTTACTGTGTTATAAAGGATTTATTTTGCCCCCTAAGTTTAAAGTGTAACTTTAGACAAAACTTGTTTTTTCCGTTTTGGAAAGTGTATGGAAGAGATAGAACCTCTGTCAAGTTTTTACTGCTTATTGAGACATCATTGAGGACATTTCCCCCCTTCCTTTCTGCCCAACTGAAAAAGTATTTACCTAGGCAAGAAGCGAGGGGAAATCTCCAGTGGTGACAGAGCTGATGGGTGGTCTAGATTTCACCTACTTTACTAGCAATAAATGTTATTGCAGTCTGCTCTTGGAGGTCTTCCCTCACTTCTAGCCCTGGGGACAATGTTGCCACTGGGACAGGAAGTGAAAGGAACTCTTCCCTCTGAGGTCCATACAGAGCAGTAAGAACTGACACAGGTTCTAATTCTTCTCTACCCAAAAAAAAAAAAAATATTGTTTTAGCTTGCGATATATAATGCTCTGCTATTCTTGTTCACAGAGCTGTTCGCTGTGTGAACAGTTTATAAATACATGTCAAAGTCTATGTAAACCCTACATCTATTTTTAGCATGTCTAACTGTATAGAGTTTCCTTATTCTTACCTGGAGCACTTTAAGCAGCAGCATTGTCAGCCTTCCTTATTTGGCTGTTGAGCTGTCTATCTGATAGACCTGATATAACGCCCAATGGCCAACTGAAGGAGCTCACACAAGAGGCTGAGAACGCTGCTTTTACTTGCAATGCAGCATTGTCTTAGCATTGCCAGCCTGTAACAGAAAGTGCTGTTACTAGTAGGATCTGCAGGTAAGAAACTCTGCAATAGATTCATTTAAAAAAACTTGTGGAAGGTACATGTTCATTTGCTAAAAGATAGGCATTATTTTGTTTATGTTATTTTGAGATATTTTTTTTTCCATTTGTATTAGTGTATAGGGGATGCACATAGGGGATGTTCTCAACAGGCAGAGTCTAACTCCCTCAGTTTTGCATTTGTTCGTCTGTTCACCGGTATAATATCCTATGTCAAATTACATTAGTTGCTTATTAAAATATGTTCTGTTACTATATCACTATATTTTGCTGGGGACTCCCCAACTACTCACCCACTTGAAACCTCTCACTAACCCCAACCATTTTCACAACAGAACAACCAATTTTCATCTATCCACCATACATGCATAAGCCCCCATAACCACTTCATTTTTTGAATAGGCTGCACATTTTCCTAGGTTTAGTCTGCCACTTGTCATAATCGTCTCTCTCATACTCACTTTACCTTTTCATACCTGTACCCACTTGTGTTTCACATGTTACCTGTTCTATTTCTCCCCTTTTTCCCACATTATCCACAAACTGAAGAAAAAAAAAAGAAGACAGAAATCGCTCGCCAGTTTGATCACAAAAATTTAAAAGCTTGTGGGTGCACCCAACCAATCTTTATCCCAATCCCAACCAATCTTTTTTATCCCCCCTCTACCAATCCCTCCACTGGCTTCCACTCGACCAGAGGATAAAATTCAAAATATTAACAGTCACCTATAAAGCCATCCACAACTCTGCCCCCGGATATATCTCAGACCTTGTCTCAAAGTACCACCCTAACCGTCCCCTCCGCTCTTCACAAGACCTCCTGCTTTCCAGCTCCCTTGTCCACTCCTCCCATACTCGCCTCCAGGACTTCTCTAGAGTCTTATTGTAAAGCGCTGAGCAAACTGTTGGCGCTATATAAATACTATGTAATAATAATAATAATAATAATCTTTAGACCAAACAGTGGCACACACACTTAGACGAAGCTCTCATTGAAATAAAGCAAAGAACTCCTGCCATGAAATGTAACATCTTTTCCCAAACAAAATTCTATTAGAGCACGACAACAGAAATCATTGCATCTAACTTTATCCCTAGAATAAAAGACAGCAATGGGCAGACCCACCAGAGATTCAAATGCTACTGCAGACCAGGTTTACACTTACTACTCTCAAATGTATAACCTGCCACCAAGACATGCTCCTCCTGACAAGAACAAATAATAGTCCCTTTATCATTAGAGAATTCCTCATGAAAAATAACCTACAGTACCTTCCTTAGACTTCTCATACATGCAAAATTTGTAATCCCCATACTGAAGGCGACCTCAAAATTGGCTTAATCTCTAATGAAACAAAGCAAATGTCCAGACCCTGGTGGCTTCACAACCCAACATTTTAAAAAACCTTTTTCTGCTCTTAGCACACACCTCCACTTTTGCAGCCAAATTGGGATAACACCTATTTTATATTTGTTAAATGTTCTCATTCACATAGCATAAGTTAAAAAAACGAATTTAACAAATGCTTCTTGCAGTTTAAATTACTTTTATTTGGGTTAAGGTTTCTACTAGGTTCTTAAGGGTTAACATTTCTACTTGTTTCTTATTAGTAAGGGGTTGTGAGGGGTGAGGGGTGAGGGTTTCGTTCATTATCTTCTGTATAGTAGATCTGAACAATGCCTGTCCTAACCAAGGGTAAAAATATTACAGTCCAGGCTTCTGATGTTAACGACATTAGTGAGAGAAACACAATCCTCAAATTTCAGTCCCAAGTCTTTCTATTAGGACAGATCACTGTGAATGTGCTGAGAAAAACCTGTTGCCTGCTGCAACAAAACATGTAAAAAGTAAGGAGTATTTTGTTTAAACGATTTTTTGTTATGCTGTGTGAATGGGAACACATCACAAACATATAGAAAGGTTTTCTCAAATTTGACTTCATAAATAAAAATACACTTTAAGGCTCTAAGCATCCTATCATCTAACCCACAGCCTCATCTGTCATTCCTCCATTCACCTAGTTACGTAGTAGATATGGTAGGAAAAAAGACATAGGTCTATTCATTCCAACCTATGTGTGTGGGTGCCAGATGAAGTTATCTATTCTAAGAGTGTACCTATCCCTAAATGTTGTGCTCATCAACGAAGACATCTAGAAGTTTTTTGAATTTTGGCAATGCTTCCACTTCTGGAGAAGGGTGTTACACATTTTTGTTGCAGTGACCTAAAGTAGCCCCTCTGCAATTGCAGATTAAACCTCCTTTCCTCTAACTTTTCTTAAGCACCTCCTCCTCTAAGGTAAATATGTTTAGACTGCTTAATCGTTCCTCATAGCTGAGGCCCTTTAGCACCCTTATTAATGTGGAAGTAAAGTCAATAAAATAAAAAATCGCTGGGAGCTGGACATTTTTGGCAGAAGAGATATGCAAAGTTTCTTCTGCCAAAAATATTTGTAATTCCCCCAGCGATATTTTATTTTTTGCGTGCGTCATGCAGTTTACACACTTAGCCCATTCCTAGGATTTCTAAGATGCCGTGAATGGGCCAAATGCAGGGGAGGATTCAACACCTGTGCATCATGAGGGTAGTAGAATATATAAAGACACCGGCACTCCAAATAGTGAATCAAATACGTCTGTTTATTGACATATGAGCAGCATAACGTGATGCACTCAATGCGGCGTTTTGGGGTCTCACAGGGTCCCCTTCATCAGGCAGAACAACTGATCACGTTATGCTGCTTGTGCATCAATAAACAGATGTATTTGATTCACTATTTGGAGTGCCGGTGTATCTATGTATTCTACTTGCTAAATATCACGGTGGCCAGTCGTCGACAGCCGCAGCACCCACCTTTATTACTTTGGAACGGCAGTTTCGAGTGCGATAGGTTCATGGACTTCACATCATGAGGGGCTATAACACCCTTAACTTAGGTAGGATATGGAGCTCAGCTGCGGAACCCCGTTCCGCGTCACACACCCAAGACCAAGGGTATTGTGCAGCAATGAATCTCGCCACTAGGTTCTAAGCATCATTGCACCAATCTCCCCCGAAGTATGTTACCTGCCTGCCCCTAGTAACTAGCGTCCTGTATACGGGTTTTAGCTTCTTTAGTCACGAGGGTAGTGCAGTATGTTATTGCTAGCAGGTACAGGAGGTGGTGTGGTAACCAAGGTATGAATATTATCAATAGGTTGAGCACTTGTTATAGGTAATTTATCAACCAGGTGAGTATACTGCACAGGACCTGGCAGGCAGACCGGGTAGAGTAGCAATAGATTCGGTATACACAATAACTGTCTGTTCACTTCACAATTTAGTATTGGTAGTATGGTTGTCAAAGTGCTAAGAGGTTTAGAAATACACAAGTTCACAGTCCCGGTTTGCACAGTAAGCACCGCCTATGAACTACCACCGGGTGGCAGTAGAGAGCTTAACTCAGTACTTGCAGTTAGATGCTAAGGAAGCTGATCCTCCCCTTAGATCATAGAGTCCTGGAGTGGATGAAGAGGCAGCAGTGAACGTCCAGGGTTCGGCCCGAGCTGTGAGGGGAGACGGAGGCTCTGTGAGGAGAGGTAGGGTAGGTAGTCCCTGCTGTGCTGTGGTGCCAGTGTCTATCTGGCATCCGCATCGGTTGCTGGAACGCCAGACAAGTGAAGGATTGCGGCTTAAGACGAGGAGGGGGCGGAGCGGCGTGATGTCAGCGGCCCGGGGGCGGAACCCCGTGGCGTGTCCGTGACGTCACACGGGTGAGCCGCCGGGAGCCGTTACACACGCAATGGTTGAAAATGACTTCAGAAAACCCCGGAGGTAGACAGCTGGAGGCAGAAAAATCAAGCACTAGAGATAGCCACATTTGTAATGTGAATGTGCCCTATTGTGCAAGTATGCTGCCTACTTCTAAAGAGAACACTAAGATTTTCTCTGATAATTATTACAAAACCGTATTGCCTCATAACGGAATTAGTCTGAGAGAGGACATGGTAAAGATATTTGTTAACTGCAGGAAAAGTTATAAATATGCAGCAGTGTTTGCTAAAACCCTTACAATGCATATAGATCACCTAGGGCAATTGTGTTTTTCTAAACAAAAGTGGAGTTATACTTTAAAGGAATATGTTTGTAAAGATAAAAATTGGTAGAAGAGAAAACAGAGAAAGAGAGGGAATGAAAAGGTAAGATAACCAATTTATATTATCACCAATATAGCACAGATGTAAACAGTGCGGTAGGCCACGACATTGAATTATGCATCTGGGGAGGTGAAGGGAGGGGTAATTTAGATCTCAATGAGAGCAAAAAGGTGCTTTGATTGAAAGTAAACTGGTCCTTTATCTCAAAAATGAATATTTGTACCAAAGTTACCCTTACCGTAAAGTTTAAATATGTATGTTGCATCTGTCCACATTAGCAAGTGCTGTAAAATTGCATCACTCTCTTTAACATAGTTTCCTTGGTTATCCTTTGGCCATGAATTTTCTATAACACTTGACACCAAACGTCCAAAATTTTCCAGATTGTAAGAACTTAACTTGCTAAGAATATTGGTCTCTGACTATATGAAAAGAAAAACGTATATGGAAAAGTTGAGTTTAGTTCAGTTACTAATCTGTCCTTAAATCTACTCGTGCAAGTCAACAAAAACACATACTGTAAATAATCACCGCCCACCGCTGCCATGTACACAGAGATAGGCTGTTGTGTACAATGTTAGGCAACCACTTGGATACAGTAGTTCTCAGAGAAAATAGTGCTACAACACTAGTTTTAGCTACCAGGCAGTGCGTACATAAAATTAAATTGCTACCCCATGCCCCAGTAGTTTCTTTTTCCAGACTGGTGTCCCTTAATCTACAACGTTTTACTTTCTTCAAAACTGCTAATTTAACCAATTCAGCAATTTTAACTTTGGGGCTCATGAATAAAGCAAGACCTTGGACATTACGTATAATACAGAGGCCATGCGTTTCTTTTGCATAAACAGGACTTCCTATTAGCAGCACTGTTTCTATTATTTTTTTTAATTTCTATGTGATTTAAAGAACAAATATTTTAAAAAAACATAGGGAAAAAACAGATATAATTTTAAAACAACTAGTGCTGCTCTAGGTAGAAAGTAATAATTCATAAAATTATGTTTCCCATATAAATGATGGTTTACTTACAAATTAAATAAAGGCTTTACAAAAAACAAAAACATTAATTCAATTTTCTAAGAATAATATAAACATTGTTTTAAAGCAAGCCTGTCAGCAATCTCAAAATCCAAATACTGCCCCTGTAAAGTCACTACTTACCGGTGCCTGCACTACTGAACACCACTCTGATTAAGAGGAATTGTAGCTGAAGTATGTGCAAACATTGGCACTTCCAGTACTACCAATCTCCTATGTCTCCTGCAGTGCTCAGTAGTTCCTGCTGCCAACTTCCATGCCACTTCTGTGTCCTGTAGTGATGGGAGAAACCACTTAATGCAGCAAAGCGCCAGAAGATTGCATCCCTGGAAGTGTCAGTTTCTGCAGAGGACTTCAACAGAAGAAGACTTCAACAGAGGATTTCTCAGGATGGGGCAACATTTGGCAGCAGGGAGGCAGAAACGTTTAAGTATCCACTTTCTTCTTAAAGGTACATTTATAAGAATTTTTAGTGCTGAGGCAGGGTGGCTTAGAATAAATGGATATATCTTAACAGTCATTCAGCAATGGACATAAGCACACGTTTTGATATAGAGAGAGAGAGTCGCTAAAAAGAACCATCTAAAAGTCTGAACTGGGAATTGGTAAGATTGTGAAAACAACATGATCATTGGGCAAGCACCAGAACTTCTACTCCTTAGATCTTTTAAAAGTGCAACCTTGCCTATCAGGGATAGCTGTGTGATGTTAGCCTGTATTGACCTATGTCTTACACAAGCTCAAAACTGATAACTGACACTCTGTTTAGGCTGCTGGGTGGGTAAAACTGTCAATTAACAAAGCTCTTACTTTTCATTTATGTAATAATAACAGCACCTTTGTAATATGATGGTATTTGTAGTGTGTTAGCAGTGAGCTTAGGCAGGAAAAGGTAGTAAACCTAATACTTCTGCACTGACAGGGAGAAAATACAAGTAAATAAAAAATGTCAAGTAATCCACAAGATGTAAGTTTGAACGAGTAAAACAATTCAAGAGTGAAGATTCAGATAATTATATGTGCCCAATAATGACTGGTTCCCATTCAGGTAATCTTTACAATAATAACTTGTAGTCAAGGAAAGTAGACTAGAATGTGCCATTAAGACAGCTTTTGCATACTTATCTAACCACACATATCCTTTTTAAGAAATACACTTAAGTGTGATTTACTTTATAGTTTGGTGGACTTTACCTGGCAAGCCAAATGCACTGCTTCAATTGCACAGTCTTCAAAGCATTTGTTAATGGACGGGTGAAGACTTTTAAATTCATTCTGTTCTTTACAATACACAGAAATTTGATCAATTGCTTCTTCCTATAACAAAAATAAAAACAAAAACAGTGTATTGGTATCATTTCTATTTTTAAAGAATGAAAAGAGGACTATGACCAAACCTTTTTTGGCGTTAGTTCTCTTTTGTTTTTTGGGTCGCAGGAAAACATTTACTAATGTACTCTTGTGACCCAAACTCAGCAAATAGCAGGCTATTGCTCACTATATGCTGACAGCGCAGAACTGCGCTGTAGCCAGGTAAGATCAAGACAATATTGTTGGGCTCCACCACGCTACTTGATTGACAGCTGGCTCTGCCTCTGTGCCTGTCCCGTCCGTGGCATCAGGGTTGAGGGCTCTTGAGAGGAGTACTGAGGCTAGATGTTTTGATGTTTTCAAGAAGCTATGTAAAGCACCCTGCCAGCCCCTCCCACCCGCCATGATCTGTCTGTATAGCATAGAGAAACACAGAGAAGCAGTGAGGATGTCACTGGGTCTAAAATAAGGTATGTAACAAAAATGGAAATGTTTTATTTAAAAATGAAATTTGCATGTCACTGAGAGGAGGAGAACCAGGAAAGACAATTATAAATATATTAAACTTTAGCTTTAAATGTACCTGTTTAATCTTCCTAAGTAAAACAGGGACAAGAGCATTCTTCCACCTCTGAGTTGCATTTTCACCAGCCTTAAGGAACAGATGCCACGCCTAGATCAAACAGGGTGTGTTTTAAATAATTACAAAAACATAATAATGAACTGCAATTGACACATTTTCTAACATGGCATAAGTCTTATCATAAAGCTGTGGGAAACATTGAAGCTTTATTGGGGGAAACACTTTACTTTAGAAATAAGCTCTCATTTTTAACCATAATGCTGTATTAATAATTACGAATTATTACTAACATTAGCAAAAATTACTGAAAACTGCTCAACCTTCTACAAAACAATCAGTCAAATATACAAAAACATTTACCCAGAGTTCTGAGTGGAAACTACGCTTTCCATATGGTATAAAAGTAAATTTATGTCCATAGACATCTTCCAGCCATTTTTCTGTCAAAAACAATGCTTCTTCCAAAACCTTTTCCAGATCAGGTACTTGTGAGTTAGATTCTGACGTATCCTCTGTTTGTTGTTGCTAAAAGTAGTGAAAACAAAGAATAACAAAGCAATATATGTCTGCACAATACCAATGTTAAAATGCTATTATTATCCATTAAATTAATCAACAAAACATCAGGATCAACTCTAATGTCTAGATCCTAATAATGGAAATATATGTGTCTCTGGACTCTTACTAACAGCAGCAGAGGACTATGGGTAAGAGCACAACACTAGCAATAATAGATGTGGCTCCTACAGCAGGATATTCATAACTGGTTACCCACAGACATTAGACATTCCATTAGCACACAAACGTTTTTCATCCGATGAAAAAACACTATTTTTTGCAAAATAAATACACAATTATTTATACATATTTCTGGCAACAACTTTACCCTCATCCTTCTCCACTTTGTTTTTTTCACAAAAAAAAGGGTTTGTTTTGATACAATTGTACTGGGGTTATGTTATATTATATAGATATGTCAGGTGCAAATAGCTTTCAATTAAAGCCCATGTAAACACTGATTTTAAATCAGCTCAATACAATCCAAGTGCATCAAAGAGCATTTTTTTTAGAAAGTAAAGTAAACCTGAGTAAAAAAGATCATGCTGTAAATGTAGGACCCTTTCCGTCTGTGTAGAAGCAGTGGTCTCTCTGCAGAAGTCCCACATGGCCCCTGATGAGTCAGAGCTTGCAATATCAGCAGGGAGCATGACATTAGCTGTTTGCAGAGCTATAGGTGTGACTCATCAGAGGACATGGCATAACAATGCAGAGAGAGGGTCCTTCTCTAAAGCATGTTGGCAGATTGTGGAAAAGGAACTGACCTTGCACATCTTTTGGTTTGATACACCTGGTAAATATTTTGCAGATTTGACCTGAAAGTTCAGCTGGCCTTTAATGACTTTCTAAGGCAGTATTCTTCAAACATACTAAATATCTGCAGTCTGTACTCACCGGTAAACCTGAGATGCATAACAGTGTTAAGATTATTTCAGCTGAAAGAGGTGGGAGCTGATGTTCAGTCTTCAATGATGGGGTACAGCAGATGATTTTGTGCAGGTCCAGGCTAGCTTTGCAACACTTTTGAAAATCATCAGCATTAGGAGGCCTGCACATGACAAGAAATGACCAAGAATGATGGAACATTTTAGGAAAGTTAGAGAGTAAATTATCCCCTATAGCAGTTTAAAAGAATATTAGATTTTTTTAGCAAATGAACGTACACATGCCCACTTAAAGTGCTAGCATACAGTATTTCTCAAACTGTATAAAAGAGCTAGCTGAGAGCCATTTACCATTTGCAATCTTACTCACTCAGGCAGATATTAATGTCACAAATGTATGTAGTTCAGAGACTGCAGGACCAGCCAGCTTGCGTCTTCACCTTATAATGCACGTGCCCTGGTGTGCACTGTGAAGGGCGATGTTACTTTTTTTCTTTAAAGTGACACTAAGCTCTGGAGTTAAACCTTAAAAATGCATTCATGCACCTTAACTATTGTTAAAAATGTATCTTATTTGTTCATCACTCAGCTGTAGATCTTCACATAATCTCTGAATTGTTGCTGACACTGTCCTTCCCTCTGGAGGGAGCCTACTTTTGTACTTTTTTGTGAGTGTGTTGAAAAGTAGCCACCGCTCCAAGCTCACTCCTGTGATGGACTACAATCTCGCATTAAGTTTGCTAATTTGTATTGAGATTGTACTCCATTACGGGAGCGAGCTTGGAGCGGTGACTATGTTACAATAAGTACAGGGACCATGGGGAACAAAAGTAGCCGCCCTCCAGAAGGAAGGACAGTGTCAGCACCAATTCAGAGATGATTTGAGGATCTACAGCTGAGTGATACACAAATAAGCTATGTTTTTGATAATAGTTAACCACCTGCTGTCCGGCCGTTGTAATTAAATGGCCGGACAGCGGCTTCTTGGATGCTGGTGGGAATTTTTAAACGTCCGTCTCCGTCCTGCCCGTGCCTGCCGCTAGGCAGTGCACGCGAGCGGGAAATCAGCTTGAAATGTAAACAGCCAGCGTTGAGACGCCCGATCGCTTCTGCCAACCTGTGATCTATGGTCCAGAACAGCTGCAGTTAATGCCCAGATTTGTGGGTTAGGTACAACACTACACAGGCTGGCAGTTTTAAAGTGGAAAAAAAAAACCCTAACTATGTCATGGCCACTGCAGTGACAAGCATAGTACACGGCCATCACAAAGAAGTACCAGATTTTTGCTGATGTTGATTGGCACTGTGATCAAGACAAAATGTAGACATGAAAATACCACCAACTACTTGATTGAAGAATTACCCAAGTCCCTAAGTATGCTTTGCATAGTGTCCAAACATTCTGCATGTGACCGTAAGACTGATGTAAATGTGGAACTATGTCAAGTGCTGCATAAGTTGTCGGTGCTATATAAACACCTGTAATACATAATAAATAAATACCCAGAGGTATACAATTATTCAGCATTGTGATTTCAGTGAACACTGGAGTGAATTAAGAATGCAAAGCAAAAATGTTACAGTTAGAACATGTTCAAAGATTAACTTGCATTCTAATTTAAAGTGACACTAAACTCAGAAGTTAAATCTTAAAAATACATTCAAATACCCTATTAACAAAAATGTATCTTATTTATGTATCACTCGGCTCTAGATCCACAAATCATTTCTGAATCATTTCTGAATCATACTAACACTATCCTTCCTTCTGGAAGCTTGCTTCACCCCAACCTTGCTTTCGTGATGGACTACAATCTCAATACAACTTAGTAAACTAAATCTGAGCTTGTAGTCCATCATAGGAGTAAGCTTGGAGTGGTGGCTACTTTAAAACACACACAGGGACCATGGGGAACAAAAGTAGCCACCCTCCAGAACGAAGGACAGTGTCAGCACCAATTCACAGATGATTTGAGGAACTACAGCTGAGTGATACACAAATAAAATAATTTTTTTGTTAATAGTTAAGGTACCTAAATGCATTTTTAAGATTTACCTCCTGAGCTTAGTGTCACTTTAAGTGAGAAATTATTTATTCAACAGAAACAAGTAGCTGCCTCCATTGCACGGGTTTACAACTATATGTATACACTATTTAACTGTTTTCAGGGGGAAAAGGTAAAGTGAAATGAATGGGTTGGTGTGGTAGAGGGGGATCGGGGGAAGAGGGCAATTGCCTCCTCCCCTGAGAAAAATTCTGCTCCCTACCTCTGCTGTCCGCTCTGAAGGTGCTGCCAAGCAGGATGACGTCCTTGTGTGTGGGTGGCGCTCAAAGTGTACCCGCTCCTGCACCCCACAGGCCGCTGCTGGCAGCATCTCTCCCTCCTGTACCCGGCCGCCAAGGAGAAGGTGCTGCGGGTAGGTGTCCGGGTGGGTGAAGGCTGGTACAGGGGGGCCTGGGTGGATGAAAACTGATAAGGGTGAAGACTGGTACAAGGCGGCTGGAGGTGCCTGCTGGAGAAGTTAACGGCTGACACAGGGGGGCCTAGAGAGGGTGAAGACTGTTACAGGGGGCCGGGAGAGGGTGAAGACTGGTGCAGCGTGGGGGCCCTGTAGCTGGTGGTATTCTGCATTGCTGTATAACTTATTGCTGGGATTCGTAGTCCTCTATACAGTGGCAGAACTACCAGGGTCACAGTGGACGCAGCTGTGACCCTGCACTAGCATTCCGCCACTTGAGGCGGCCCGGATAGTTGGAAAGGGGCCCAGATAACCACCAACATTGCTGGTTACCAGACCCCCTTCCTTCAATCTGGGGCCCTCCATCCTTTACACTGCGTCTGGATCGTGTGTAACACAGACAGCTGCTCCACAGCAATAAAACACAGTAATGTGCAGTGTGGATGACAGACCCATTTTAATGACAGTAATGTGCCAAATGTTGTTTAGAAGGGATTCCAAAAGTGTCAGGATGTGTAAAAAAAAAAAAAGGCACAATAACTGTTATACATAACAAACAACTGCAACATAATGTATTATTGCAATATTCTGTTCTGTTAGCAACACTTTATTTTCTGGCAGTGCCCCTCCTGAGACTTGACTCTGGATCCGCCCCTGGTTAATGTTAACAACCCTATTTCTTAGTTCATCACTACATCACTCCCAGTCTGTATGACTATTTTCACATTTCTTCCAATTCCAGGTGTCTATCTTCAGTGTAAAACCCAAACTTTGGCAAAGATGAGGCCTGACTGCTTGTATCCAGACACTGGATAGAGACGTTCCCAAGGAAATTTCACTTTACCCACCTTAACATCCCCATCACCACCAATTCCTATTTGGATAACGTACTTAGCATGAAACTTAATATACTCACTTGCCCTGTTTTTCCATGAGTTGTATCAGTTTCTTTAAAATATGTTCAATTTTCTGCAATTACAAACAGGATAAATGGAAAGTGAAATATATAAACATAAAGCTGTATTGATCAGCAGCAGTTAAAAGAAAGTATAGCTAACAATATGTGCAGACAATCATTAATGATGCAATATAGGAAGAAAAAACACAAGGTTTCCTAAAAATCATTATTATGTCAGATGAGTTTTCAGTTATTCGAAAAATAAGATGGAACTCTAGATTCCAGAGCCATGATCCCAGTGCTGGTATCTTTTGGCACACAGCAGCTGGTCTTTGGTTCAGAGGATCCCAAAGCAGGAGAGTTGAGTATGGAAACAAAGGTTGAAGTCTACATTAGAGAGAGTTACTGTTAGGGTTGAGGTTACTGAAAATCCTCCAGTTTTTTTGCCTACCGTTGAGGAGTATGGACCTAGCTCCCCGCCGGGGATCTAGTGTCCCTTTATTTTGTTTTTTATTTCTTTTGTTTCTTTGTTGACCTTCAATCAACAGCTGAGCTGGGTGACAGGCTGCATCCTATAGATCCTTGTAGTTTCCCAGCTCAGCCTAGTAGATCTCAGCTGTAAGGCAGGTTCGACTGCAACAGCCCCTCCTGGGATCTGGGGGAGCCTATTAGATACCTCACGGGGGCACGCATATGACCTACTGGCCA